GTTGTGTCCTCAGAGGAAGCCTTATAAAGCCCAGTGGCTCATCAGGGAGATTACCACCAGCTGCTGCCTGTTAGCTGCCAGACCAATCAGGGGTGTGGATGTGAGATCCTCACACATTGAAATAACTTTGACATAATGTTAACATTTGTTTTTTTTAATAATTTATCAAATTTACTGCAGCTAGTTGTTTTATGCTAAAATAAATAAACATTTGGGTAAAACTGTCACTAAATKGGGCAGCTGTGGTGTAGGGATTAGGGGAGTCATCCTGAAACCGGAAGGWCACCGGTTCAATCCCCCATTCCTGGTGTTTCAGTCATTTTGTCCTYGGGCAAGACACTTCACCTGCCTTGCCTACTGATGGTGGTCAGAGGATCTGGTGGTACCAGTGTATGGCAGCCCCGCCTCCTTTACTGTGCCACAGGGCAGCTGTGGCTACAATGTAGCTTACCATCATCAGTGTGTGAATGTCTGTAATTGTAAAGCGCTATATAAGTTCAGACCAGTTACCATAACTGTTTACTTTATTTTATTTTTTTACATTTTTGTTTATTGTGAAGTTGGTCTTAAATTTCATTTCAAGCGGCATTAAAATTTTTTAGATTTAACTTACATGAAGCTAATCAATCACTACAAACATTTCCATTTAAAATTGTTAAAATACATGAAAAATTCACAGAACAAACCCAACAAGCTTAGTATTTAAATGATCCAGTAGGTATTTGTTTCCTGCAGCAGCTTTAACAAGAGGAGTTCTCTTGGATGCAGGTTGTAGATGATGTCTCATCCAGTTGTTCAACAGAAAATCAGTTTGTTGGATTTCACCGATTAATGTCTCCTCCTCTGTGTGTCCTTCTCCAACAGTCTGAAGAATCAGATTTGTGTCCAGTGAGCGCAGGACAACAATAAAAACTAACCAGATTGATGTCAGACCAGCTGTGGTCAGCTTGCTTCGTCTCTGTCTCCACTCGTCTCCACCTTCCTCAGCATCGTCTCTGCTCGTCTTCCTGTCCCGTCTGTCCTGACAGTGAGACGGTGATGAAGAGCGGTTTGTTCRGGACATTCCAGCACAGCATCAGTTCTCTCACCCAGCAGAAAAACAAGGACCCGTGTCGACATTTCCTCCACTTTATAAACTTTATTCATTCATGATCCACTGRAGCTTTTATCCACTCGTAGTGTGGATGTGAGACACAGAAGCCTTTCAGTAAATGCATGGACACAGTTTCATCCCACAGCAGCTTTGTACAGYGAGTTCTAATCTGAGAATATGAAGGTTTGCTTTGATTTAAAGCAGGAGAGGAGAACCTCCAACCTCTGGGATGAACAACCCTCCAAACCTTTTTACCCGACCTGCCGCACACTTTCTGACAACTCAATCAAATATATCTCAACTCAGAGGGAAACGTATCCACAACCAATTAAACATGTGTTAAACATGACGGTAATGTCCGAGCCAGGATCAAGGTCAGTGAACACAACTCAAGTGAGCAAGCAGATCAGACAGGATGATTGAGAGCTGTCCATGTTTTCTTCTCCAGTCTAAAATAAATTATAGAACTTAATAAAATAATCATTATTATAATATACAGTCCACTGATCATGCCTTGTTTGTTATCATGTTATTATACTCTTTAAAATACAAAAACAGTTTAAAAATTCTAAACTGCAACCAATATTTTTAGAAATAAAACCTGATAAGTGTTTGTTTTATAATTGTATAAACTGAATTACTCTTTAAAGTGTAAAACGCAGAGGAAAAAATRTTCTCCTCTTCTGGTTTCTGCTGGTTCTGTTTGACCCACAGTGTGATAATGTAGCTTTTCTAAGAGAAACTTTATTCTTGAAGTGAATTTAAAACACTTTAAACGAGTTGACAGCAATAAGGACTCTGGTTGAACTCTTCCTTTGRCGTAAAGGTGTCATGTTTTATTAATTATACTGAAAATGTTTTGTTAATTTTAAGGATGAATCAGTTTTGATGATGTTGGATGGTTAACTGGTTGWAAGTCTCTCTTATAGTTTTATTTTGTTGATCTGTCTGTACTGGAGAGAAATTCCAAATATCAGTAATACTTCACCTGCATTACTGAGTACATTTATTCACTTCATCTGGTCAGTTCATCACATGTGGTAAAAYACAGCCTGATGGAAAACCTTTCACAAAATACAGAGAAAATGAAATCAGTGTATATGGGCATTTAGAAAACTTTGTTGTGATTTTGTTTGGCAGAAATTGTTTACAAAATACAGATTTGAACAGTACAATATCACATTTACCAAACATTCAAGAGTTTACAAAATTTAAGACATTTATTGATCACACAACACAGGACACAATGTGGTGTATTYATACTGAACACTTTTTATCCTCCAGCAGTAACAGTACAGCTGAAACCATGTTTCTACACACTGTGTTTTTTTTTCTCACTGACATTAAACCAGATTAAACCTTTCCCGTTTAGATTATTTGTTAAATGCTTGAATAATGAGGATTGTTTTTGTAGCATGTGAACTACTTTATTCAAAGTCCACAAGTTTACATACATGCAGATTACTGTACTTTTAAGCAAGAATATTTGGATTGTTTATAAGGAACACATCAAACACTTTGTTTCTTTCTGTGGCATGATGGACAACAATCAGCCAAGATGTCAAGAAGAGGATTGTTGAACGTCACAGCTCTGATTTATTGTTGGAGACATTTTTACACATCTGAAGGTTCATCTGTTCAAATAACTATAAAAACACCAAGAATGTCCTGCCATCATACTGCTGAAAGACATTATCAGGAAGTTAAATCTTGAACACAGAGGGGTCTTCAAATGAACAAAGACCCTCAGTCAGCAGACTGACAGATTTGTTACAAAGAGGATAAAGAACAACAAAGTCAAATGTTTTCTGAATCAGTTTTATTGCCATTGTCAATGAACWGGATTCACAGACTAGGAATTTGCTTCGGTGTAAAGGTGCAATAACAAATGAAAATACAAAGGATAAAGGAAAAATATTTTTAAAAAATATATGGAGGAGCCATCATAAAGTCCTGACCTGAAGAATTACAAGGTGACTGTGGGCAACAAGCTCTACAATCCTGACTCAGATCCAACAGTTCTGAAACAAAAAATTAGGTTTAAAATGCTAAACTTTAGACACCCAGTCAGATAGTTTATAGCAAGGAAACCAAAAACTGAGAAAATAGATTTTATTTTCCGACTTTGAAGAAAGTATTTTTTTCAAAATTTCAAAAAAAAAAAGAATCCTTCATTATTCAGACACCAAAATGAAATTATTTAATGAATCTTAACTGACCTGAAACAGGAAAAATTTGATCTGATTTAATGTTAGAAAAAAGGCTCTGTCTTTTTATACAGTCTATGTAAACATCTGGTTTCAAGCATAGACGATAGATAGATAGATAGATAGATAGATAGATAGATAGATAGATAGATAGATAGATAGATAGATAGATAGATAGATAGATAGATAGATAGATAG